CTGAATGAAACAAGATCCGCAGATCGATGGAGTTTGGAAGGACTCTGTCGACGGAGAGAGGTGATCCGGATCCGGATCTAGAAGAGAAACTCTCTATCCTCCCCAGGTCCCCTCGGGAACCCCTGCGGATCTTGACTTGCGTCAAGATCCGCTAACAAAACAAGGAAAAGTGAAGGCGAAACGGTATGCATTTGCAGATTCACCGGTTAAGCCAACACTGTACCTAAACCCAACCCCCGCTAGTCGAAGAAACGAGAAAGAAGACGAAAACGAGTAAGACTACGCGGAAGAAGATGCAAGCTCCAGAGTCGGAAGAAGACCAAGCTGGATCCAGGTCAGGCTGGTCAGACAAGGATCTCGAGTTTGTGTATCGCCACCAAGCTTTACGCGACTTCCTGCATCAAGATCCTGTCATGCAGATCCTGAATCCACGACAGATCGAAGATCCAAGAGAACCGGTGAGAGCACCAACTAAAACGGCGAACAAGTTGGTGGCAGTCAAAGATCTATTACGTTTGCTTACGGCGTCAGGCATCGTAGCTGGTGTGTTCGACGCAGAGGATATCTTCGAGCTAGACCTGGATCTCATAGTATCCCGCGACGCGGGACCTCTTTGCCAGAGTTAAGTCCATCACCGGAGAAAGGTCGCGCACTATGGATCCGGTGTCGTCGCCGAGGGTCAGCCAAGCTGCATCCTCGAACTACGAATCCGCCACTGAGGATGAGTCAGACACGTCGTCCGAACCACGACGCATGACTTTAGGACCCTCCGGGGCATCCATGCTGGAAGCGCGGGCGAGGAGCCGAGGACAGGAAGTCCCTGTTAGCGCGAAGGCTCGGGATTCAGTAGGCCCTACGCGTGATCTGACACAATCCAGCCACGATCGAGCCAGATCCGGCAAGAAGCCAGTGGGATTATCGTCAGATCGGGCTCAAGGTAATCGCCTCACGGATCCGGTCTCGCCAGTGGACCAGACGGCCACAGGCTCTTCCGACACTTCCTCGGGCACCCTGCAGCGACACTTCGAAGCTGCGATGAGTCGTTTCCTGGCCGAACAGGGTATGAGAGCGCCCGTGCCACAAGTGCAAGTGCTCCACGAACATGGAGCACGAGACGTGGAGATGGAGTCCGTGGAGGGAGACAACTCCCATGATGAGTTCGACCCAGATGATCTGGATGGCCCATCCACTTCGTCAGCAGTGGTAGCAACAGCCACAGCCGGGGAATGTGGATCGTCCATGATCCAGAGGGTACGGATCTCAGCCATATCGGATCTGAAGGAGTTCACGGACAAGGATCAAGATGAGGACCGAGCGAGAACATGGATCAGCAAAGTCAAGTCGGCCCTCATGAGAGATCAA